CTCCCTTTGCGCTCCCCCCCCCCCCCCCCCCGACGCTGGTTCTTCTGGATGCTACGGCGACAAAAGGATGAGAAGATGAATGCTATTTGCGACGCCTGAAAGTGAAGATCGATTACATTCGGGTGTACCAAGATACCTCTTCTACGATGGCCAATGTTGCGAATGGCAAAGCGCACGCCTGCCCGCTTCGCCGGACATGCATGGGTGCGTCCAAACTGGAAGCCTGGACGCCAACAACGAACCGCCGGGGATGAGCATTCGTCATTCGTCTTCAAGATGGTGGCGAGGCAAGCGGGCGAAGCTCACAGGCTCGACTATATAATCTATACGGGTCGACAGAACACAGCGGCACAGGAGGTTCAGCGCGTCGATTCCGCACGGGTAGTGCTGCACGTGCGGCACATTTCTCGATGTCTCCTTACAATTCAGCCGAACGCTAACGATGCCCCAGTGGTTCGCGTTCAAGCTCACAGGGTGGCTGGGAAACTTGGTGTCCCGAGTGGTGCCTTCGGTGTCGTTGGACATCCTACCGCCCATGTCAGCGAAGACAGACCGTAGCAATTTCCCACCGAAGCTGCAATTGTTTCTAAACAGAAATCAATGGGACAATCATTCAGCCACCCTCGGCAGATACCGCCCACAATGTTGTCAAAGCTGATCATTCCACCGCCAGACATCGTAATAAATTCGGTGCGCAGTCGACTAGACGTAAACTTGGAGATAATCTCGTTGGCAAGGACTCGAGGACGATTGCGTACGCCATCCACAGTCAGGCGATGTGTCTTCGTCTCATCTGCAAAAGAGCTACGTCCGAGTTGACCTTTCTCCAATCTTACTCCAGCCACTTGCGGTCTTCAAACCATGATCAACCCTTGGTCTTTACAGCGTAGAAGCCAACCAAAGAATGCACATATTGCTAGAAGTAGTTGGCAACATTGTAGCAACCATAATGTTACAGCAACCATATAACAGCAGCCATAACGTTAAAGCAACCATAACTGTAAAGCAACCTTACCTGCTGAACTTCCAGAGCTTTGTATCGATTGACACGACGAGCTCAAGGACAATGCCATGCTTCTTCACTCTGCCTTCCAGCTTGTCGGGTTTGTGCTGCTCGTTCCTGGCAGTGGTTGCCGCAGCTTGCATTGATCGCGTGAGATCGATTGGAATGACAAAATTGTGCATGTAAGCTTCTGGCCGAACGGCTTCCCATTGACACTCGACTGTACGTGCTCGCAGGTAGGCGTCTTCTAGCTGGACAGGATATCTCTCCATCATCTCCACGACATCCTTCACACTTGCAGTGTTTCTTGCCCATGTTACTAGCTGATCTATCGGCACAGAGAGTCCACTGGGATATTTGTGGACGGCTAGACGATTTGGACCTGGTGTTAGTTTCGTTTGGCGAAGCTGCTTCTTTTTGGATCGTGCTCTACCTCGACCCTTCGGCTTTGGGACCGTGATGATATCAACTTGGCGCACAGGTGTTGCAGTAGGTGATAAGCGCGCGGGGGGTGGGGGGTCATTGCAGACATCTTCTTTGCTCCTCTTAATATCTACATCTGACTCTGTGGGCGTTGATATTTGCTGTTGCAGTGGTTCTAGCTTCAGTTGGGTAGGCTGCGTTGGAGGAACTTCATCATCATCAGTACCGCCGCCCGTGGAGCATCCGTCACTTGTCATTTCTAGCGCATCCATTAGTTTGGCAGTCGCTATCGCATCTGATGGATCTAGAATCGCCAGCAGATCTTCAACCCTTTCATCGTCAACATCCGCGTTGCTCCGATCATTGATTGTTGCGCTGGAATTAACAGACTCAGATTCCACCCGATGGAGTCCTGTTTCAACAGTATTTTTCCAAGTTTTCAGCTCTTGGTAAAAATCAGCGCTCGACAAGTTGGATAGATGCTGAAGCAGAGGCTCAAGCATAGCTTTTGCGTATGAATACTTCTCGGCAGAAGAAAGTACGACCTGGTTTGCACGGTCATGTCGGTGCAGCCGAACGTATGCTACCTTTTTTGGGCGCCTTGGACGATGAAGCACTGGGTGTATCATCATTGTCATCTAGCAAGCTTTTTTTGCAGCTTGAACTTGGTCATGCGCACAAAAAGCAGTAACGCATCGGCAGCAGACGCCAGGTCTCCTTGATTTTCAATGCTGCGGAGGTACTCCATCGTTCATCAATCGAAATAGCAGGAATGAACTCAAATCCATGGCCTGTGCACGCCATATACATTAGATGGCGGCCGGGCAAGTGGTTGTTACCTCTGTAGAACAAGCACGTGCACGTCCAATCCATATCGTGACACGTACAAGTTTGATTCGAGTTGTAAATATTCCAAATTGAAATACTTGAACGCTTCTAACAAGCTCCTGAATCCGTCAGATGCACATATGGTTTCCATTCCTTTTTTACCTTCGTCAACATATTCGTTGACAATCTGCCGGCCACTGACCGCAAAAATCGAGGAACTGTTTTAGGCATCCGCGACGAAGAGTGTTGGTTTCCAATCTCCAAAATAA